GTACATATTTGATAAAATAAAATATTCTTATCATCTCTCAGCTCATTATGTATGTAGAAATTTTGAAATAAATTTTTAATATGTAATTTTTTATTTTATTGATGTACGTACCAATTTGGAAATAATATAATTCCAAAAGATGAGAGATTTTTCACCGTAATTTAAAATTTAGAAATAAAATGTTTCTACTCATCTAGATGATTGATGACTACGGTATCTTGTACTTCATATAGTTTCAAAATTTACAAATTCTAATGAGAATATAAATCATGGTTCCTACCTGTCGTGACTATCTTTCTAGATTTTGAATATTTCTGTCACATTTATTCCTTTTTACCTTCCTTCACCCATTCTCATCGCCCCTCACCCGGATTGACAATTTGGAGTGTGGGCAGATCTGGAATTGAGAATTTAAGGAAGCAAGAATAATTAATTTTACGAACGGAACATTAATTAAAGATTATTTAAAGAAATCCACCTTTATGATTTCTTATCGTCATAATCCCTAATGTTTTAACTCTTTCGGAACAGAAAAAGTGATATTTGTGGCAAGATCATGACGATTGGGTGGATGAAAGTGTTTGTTTTCACATTAATGTTATTTGGTGGAGTAACGAGTGAATGCAATCCAAAGCCCTTTTGTAAGTGTTACAATGTCTGCTATGAAGTTAATGCTGCAAGATTTGGTGGCACGGATAATCCGCTTCTTCTAATAGGGACTTGTTACACTCTTTGTGGGGTGGTTTCCCTAAGAGGGAAATTTTTTTTGAATATTATTCCCAAATGGGAAAGGTCAATTCCTGAGAAGGAAAATCGGCTTTTGAAAAGCCGTTTTTTTTAATGATTTTCGGCTTTCATAAAGCCAATTTTCTTTTTTTATTTTTAATTTAATTTTTTTCGGCTTTTACAAAGCCATTTCAGAGCTACAGTAAAAGGCTACAGGTATGCGCAGTGCATGCGCAGTAACACCCTTCCTTTCTCCATTTTACACTCCACCTCTCTCTATTCCCACACTTAATCCCTTCTACAACTCCTCCCAATTCCACTACAAATAATCAAATCTTTTCCTTCTTTTTACACAAAATACATAATCTCTTCAACTACATCTCACATTCTCTCTTCTTTTCTCACTAAATAATCAAAATTTATCTATTCTTCCATAATCATCCAAGAAGTTGAGGTATGTTTTCTTAGAATAATTCTTTATAAGTTCTTTAAATATGTAATACATATTTTTTTTACAATATATAATGCATATTTTTTAAATTTTACTATATGAAATGCATATTTTTTTTTAATTTTACAATGTGTAATGCATATTTTTTTAATTCTACAATATGTAATGCATATTTTTTAAACAAGATTTTTTTAACCATTTTATTGTACTATGAGTAGATAGAAGCTCACTAGAATTTTTTTTGAAGCATAATTTATGATCCTGAGAGAGAAATAGCGGGTCCTAGATTGAGGGACATTCTTACTTTACAAGCTACACATCGTTCGCGTGAGGTGTGGCATAACCCGGATNTGCTTACTAGGACTTCCGATTGATGGACTCCCCGTCATGGGCTTTGATTTAAATATTGAGGAACGAAATGTCTTATTTAGAGATGTTTTGATGTGGACCACCGATGACACCCATTTTGGTCGTTTTGACCAATTCAAGATTGCCCTTATTTTTGAGGGACAAACCATTCAACCAAATAATGAATGGCCTGATCAGATGGTGGCTCAATATACCGCTAGGCTCATATATGCTTATATGGGTGGTTTATTATTTCCAGATTCTTCGGGTACAGTTCCCGGAGCGGTTGCTGCAGAGGTTCGAGACAGCCTAAGGGGTGCATTAGAAAATGTTGACCGCAACGAAGATGAGCTTGTTGAAGACGAAGATGAAGAAATGCATGGAGACGAAGATGAGTTTGATGCTGACGAGGTCGAGACTGGTCCATATTTCCCCCAAACTGACAACACTCAACCCGGACAAAGTACCCAAGAAGATCTTTTTGGTGGGACACAATTTGACACACGCGGTTTGGGTCGCATCCTCGTCCATGCCGCATGACTACGATAACATCCCGGTGATGGATTATTGGTTCAATCGTGGATTTAATTATTTTATTGTAATCATGGATTTTTGTAATTTGTAATTTTTTATTTTTGGGTCATGTAATGGATTCTACTTTCTTTTACTTAAAATATTTTTGTTCTTTTAATTTTTTAATTCATGTAACTCTACTTTATATTAATTAAAAAGTAAATTTCGCATTAAAAAGAAATTAGGGCCAAAAGATTTAAAATTTTAAAAATTTTGTAACCCGGATTATTCTCACGGTGGCGATGATTTAAACATCGATTATTTCTCCATTGCCCGGTTCATTGTCGGAAAAGTACGTGTGGATCCGGAGTACAAAGTGAAGTTAATCCAACATGATGTTTTACAGGAATTTCATGTTCCTGTATCGTATAAAAAATGTTGGTTAGCTCGGATCCGTGCTACAGAGTTGTTGTACGGTAGTTGGGAGAATTCGTATTCTCAACTTCCTATTATGTTGTACAATTTACAAAATTCTTATCTAGGAACTGTAGTCGATGTTGTCTATGCAACTGAACCGCCAAACCTTAATGCCACGCCTGAAGAGACCTCGCGCTTTAAGTATGCATTTTGGGCTTTCATCGCGGCAATACATGGATTACAATACTGCATGCCTGTAGTGACGGTGGACGGAACTCATTTGTACGGAAAGTATAAGGGTCATCTCCTTCTTGCGGTTGCCATGAATGGTAATCGTGAAATCTTTCCTCTGGCTTATGCTGTTGTTGACGGAGAAACATGTGAGAGTTGGGCTTGGTTTTTTCGCCTTCTTGTTCAGAGGGTTATCGGCTCACAACAAGTCTGTATTATTTCTGACAGACATATTGGAATCATTAACTCCTATCGTGACCTTCCAGAACTACAGACCGGATTGATAATGAAACGTTTTTGTCTTCGCCACGTTCGGAGCAACTTCATGACAAAGTTCCGGAACAGTGATCTTAAAAATTTGGTTTGGGCCGCTGGTAGTACTCATAATATCCAACAATTTGAAGGATATATGGCTGAAATACGAAACATGAGTGAGGAGGGATATAAGTATTTAAATGATATTCCCCGTGCGGCATGGACCCTTTGTTTTGATGGTGGGTTTAGGTGTGGTATCTTAACGACAAATAGTTCTGAGAGTTTCAACAATATGCTGAAAGGTTGCCGAATGTTACCTGTCACTGCCATTTTATCCATGTCTTATGCCAAGATGGTTGAATATTTTGCTAAAAGGTACAAGCTTGGTATTCAATGGCAAGAACAGAGCATGCACATTACTCCGAAAATTAAAAATGTTCTCCTTAATCGGGAGAAAACTAAGCACAAGTGGACAGTCTCAAGCTACGGTAACAACCAATACGTAGTGACTCACACATCTCGAACAGATCCTTCTTCTGTTTACAGCTACTTGGTCAATTTGTTTAGTAGTGTATGCACTTGTGGGCAGTGGACTTCTGATAGTATACCGTGTGTTCATGTTCATGCTGTTTACCACTCTTTTCGACAACAAGTTCCTCACAACATATTACCGGCTAGGTACTCGGTTCAAAACTATTTGAGTTGTTATGGTGGTATAATTCAACCTGTTCTTTTCCCTCAAAATTTGGATGTTGGCAGCTTTAAGGTTCTACCTCCCAAACGGCCAACAGATGAGATTCCACGTTTAGGGAGACGTCAACGCGATCGATACCAGGGCGAGATGGATTTCAGGGCAAGGAGATGAATTTAGTTTATAATTTTTTTTAGTTTGTATCAGGGAAGGTATTGTAATTCTTGTTTATTTCAGATGTTGAGAATGTAATTTGCTGTTGATGTTTTAATATATTTATGTTTTCAATATTGCCTACTATTCGTTTAAAAAACAAGTTTCTGAAAATTATTTAGATTTTTTTTTTAAAATTTGATTTGTTTAAAAAACAAGTTTCTCTTTATTAAATTTCTATTGATTGATTTTTTTTAACAAATTAAATATTGAATCATAATAATTTTTTTTTATTAAAAAAAAATCTTTATGAAATCAGTCATCTGTGCAATTTTTTGGAATGAAAATTTCGGCTTTATGAAAGCCATTTTTTAAAAATAATTTTTTTACAAAAAACGGCTTTGTGAAAGCCAATTTTTATTTAATTTTTTTTTACAAAAAATGGCTTTGTGAAAGCTGATTTTCAAAAAAAAATAAAAATAAAAATCGGCTTTACTAAAGCCGATTTTCCCTCTCAAGAAATGCATGCTCCAAATCTTCCCTCTGAGGGAATTTATTCCTCTTTGTGATCAGATATTGAAAAGTAATTGTACAGATACTTCTCTTGATTGCCCATGTTCCCCTGACAATGCTATGTGCCCAAAAAAATAGAGCTATGTTAAATACTTGCACTTTAAGTTTATTGTATTATTGTTATTATTATTATTTATTATTAATATTGTCATTATTATTATTTCTATTACTACTATGATATTTGAATAGAAAAAGTTTCAACTCAATGAATATTTCACCAATTTAAAGTTTTTTTGAAATGTAATAGTAAGATTATTACGGAATAGTACTCTTTCTCTTTCACAAAATATTTTCACCCTAACCTTTTTAACACTCTATATATAAAATGATACTGTTTGATCTAAAATGTCTAAAATACCATCAAAATAATTTTTTTCATCATTAATTACCTACACGAAATGAGGGTGTATTTTAGATATTTTAAATGGACAGAAGTGTTTTGATGAATAGTAGAGTATCAAAGCTTTAAACATTACAAATATAAGGTGAAGGGATGGAAACCATCAGAATAATGTTATTCAAATAAGCTCCAACATGCACCAACGATGTACAACAATGGTTACAAATGTCTAAATGGAAAAAAATATTCATGCATTTATATCTAATTGATTGACATACATATTTTACATATTTAGTAATTTTTATAATATCACCTTTTTAATATATTGCCTCCATTCCAGAATATTAGTTCCAATCTAACTTTTTAAATCGTACGATCATGAGTGGATCCATTCTTGGCACTCGCCGGGGGCAATGCCGCAATTGTTTGCCGCCTAAAATCACGGAGCAACGCCATCTCTCCAAGAGTCACGACCTCACGGTATTTGATCCGGTCGTGCAAATCAATGGAAAACATGTCTCACCTGAAATGAATCGAACGCTGGGTCCACAATGAAGAGCAGTGACCCGATGTAGCGCACCAGATTCTGTTGAAAGAAACACGTCTTTGCACTCTTTTTCAAAGTACACCGGGTGGGTAACGCCGCATCGGGTCGCTGCATCCCCACCATGGTGCCAAAAATGGTGTTAAAGAATTTGGCACGGACTGGGTCCTTCATGTGAAGGAAGAGGGAAGAGTCAGCGAGACACTTCACGCCAGCGGAGAACATGCATCGGAAGCCGTTGCAGTGAATCATCACGCCCATCAACCTTTCGGCGAGGAGAATGTTGCTAGAATCCTTTATTACTCTTGCCATCAAGTCCCTGATGACGATCCGGAAGATCCTAGCACCTCTGTAGTAGAGCTTCGTGTTGGGGTCAGGTTTGTCGACGTCACCAGCAAACGAGCCCCTGTCATAGTACCTAACGATCACTCGATTCCAGCTATAGAAAAAAGTGTCATTCGAGTGACCGCTGAAAATGTGTTTAAAAAGAGAAACATTCATGTGGCAATAAGAGCCAAGGTCAATGGTAGCCCGACTACGACAGCACTCAATCGAATGGTCTCCAGCTTCATAAACGGTGGAGTTTAGGCACCATCCGGCACCTTGGAGGTATAGTAGACAAGTCAGTTACTTCTATTGGCGTCGTCTTTGGCGACCTCCCAGTCATAGGCGAGGGAAGAGCCATTAAGGCATACTGCACCTTCAACCTTGGCGCTCTCCAAAATGTGGAGCTTGGAGGAGACACGAAATTGTTGGAGGCATATAGCCATGGAGAAGAAAGCACATACAAGAAACTGATCTGGGAAAAGGCCATATGGCATGATGAGTTAGATTGTGTAAAATTTTAAAGAATTAAAGCATTGCATGATGAGATAAGAAAGTTTCACACAATCTAACTCATCATGCAATACCATATGGGCTTTTCCCAAATCAATTTCTTGTGTGTGCTTTTCTTCTCCCTAGCTATATGCCTCCAACAATTTCGTGTCACCTCTAAGCTCCACATTTTGGGTTGAAGGTGCAGTCTGCCCCCGCCTATGACTGGGAGGTCGCCAAAGACGACGCCAACAGAAGGAACTGGCTTGTCTACCTCCAAGGTGCCAGATAGTGCCTGAACTCCACCGTTTATGAAGTTGTAGACCATTCTATTGAGAGTTGTCGTAGTCGGGCTACCATTGACCTTGGCTCTCTCCGCCACACTAATGTTTCCCCTTTTAGACACATTTTCAGCAGTCACGCGAACGACACTTTTTTCTACAGCTGGAATCGAGTGATCGTTAGGTACTGTGACGGGGGCTCGGTAGCCAGGGACATCGACAAACTCGATCCCAACACAAATCTCTACTACAGACGTGCTAGGATCTTCCGGGCCGTCGACCTGATGGTAAGAGGAATGAAGAATTCTAGCAACCTTTTCCTCGTCGAGGGGTCGTCGGTAGGTTGGGCATGATGATTTATTGCGACAGCTTCTGACGCATGTTCTCTGCTAGCGTTCGGGTGAAGTGTCTCGCCGACTCTTCCCTCTTCCTTCACATGAAAGACCCCGTTCGTGCCAAATTCTTCAACACCGTTTTCGGCACCATGGTGGGGATGCAGCGACTTGATGCAGCATTACACACTCGGTGCACTTCAAAAAAGAGTGTGAAGAAGTGTTTCTTCCCACAGAACCTGGTGCGTTACATCGAGTCATCGCTCTTCATTGTAAACCTGGCATTCGATTCATTTTAGGTGAAACACATTTTCTGAGGATTTGCACGACTGAATCAAGTACCATGAGGTCGTGACTCTCAGAGAGATGGCTTTGCTCCGTGATTTCAGGCAGCAAACAATTGCGGCATTGCCCCCGGCAAGTGCCAAGAAATGGATACATACTCACATCCATCTTCCAGTACAGCTTGGCTTTGAGCATCGGGTATAAAGGACCCATATTTGCCGACCCAAAATCCAAGTCTTTCTAGAGCGCGTTTCTGTATTGGTACTTTGGCCGAGCGCATGTACATTTGATCGACCCTGCGAACAAACCCTTTGTTCCTTAATAAAGGCCGGTTAATTAGTATGTATTGCTTTAATTTGCTATTTTATTAAGTGTGTTGAATTGTAATTGTAATGCAATTACAAACGTTGTGTGTTTATATGTTAGTGAAATTTGCACTGAATAGGACCAAAACATAAGTCATTTCTGAATGTAGGACGTAAACTTTTTTATTTTCTAAATAGGACTTAATAATGACTAGTGAGAAAAATAATGTCCAAGTGATGTTAAACATTTAGTTAAATAACAACTAATAGATAATGACCAATGGTCCTACATTACGAAATAAAAACATATGGTCTTATATTGAGAAAGTCATTATGTTTTAGTTGTATTTAGGTATATTTTTAGTCCAACCGCATAATCCATATTAAAATCAACCATCCACGATCAAATTATGCAAATTCAAAAAGATACTTAACAAAATAATAATTTTCTGTTACTATAATGTAAGTTGAGAAAGTAACTACAATCATAAAATGTCTTTGCAACCTTTTAATGTTCTCAAAAAAACATCATTGTGTATAACACTTGTGGTCTCAAAGCTTGGTTTATCCCTACCTTTACATACCATAACCTTCCACACTGATCGACTTCTAACCCTAAGCATAACAATGTATAATTGTCTTAGAAATATTGATTTATGACATCTTTATTGCATTCACTTGTACTTGTCCAACCTGACTTTTCTCATTCTAAAATTTTTACGATATTAGTAATATATGTAGCCAAAAAATGTACAGAGTAATACACATAAAAGATATACGGCAAGTGATTTATAGCACGGATTTACTGCAGTTAGCAACAAATCTTAAAGTCACAAATGATTCTTAAGTAGTTCCTACAATGTTTTCAAGGACTCCTTCCTCAAATATAAAAAAAAAATTATGAAACCAAACATAATGTAAATACACCAAAAAACCATAATATCATTCAAATCGAGGACTTTAGATTCACAACATGAGCAAATAATTGTGCGAAAATGATTTGTAATGCAAATTTAAAACAAAACTCTATATTTTTAGATTGAGAGTTTAAAAATGTTCTTGAGATGAATTAATTTAACAATCTACTGCCATAAGATAAACAAAAGTGAAGCTTGACAGATTCACCAACCTTGTGTGACCTTTGCTGAGTGTTCGCCCTTTGTTGTGGTCCAACGATGCCGTCCATAGCTGAAGTTCATACATAGTCCAAGTTCACCGTCATCCCCGCAGTTTCTTCCGTGTTCCTGTTAGTGTGCTGCCAAATCAAAGGTCTAGAACTCAATTTTGATTCTACTTTTATATACATAGTATATACTCCGTAGTAGATAGATGTTGATTAAAAAGTGATGTACCATCCACAACTCTTAAAAAGTAAAGAGAAACAAAATAGGACAAAATGATGAAATTCAAGAGAAAATCTTGGCTTATCCTATTTCATTGATAGCTTTGATTGTCTTCCAAGAACATTTAACCATTTCCTCTATCCTACCAAGAATCAAGAAACGGAATTTTCCTAAATAAAACAATACCGAAAATTCCACAAAGCATAATATTTTACTCCGTATTTTTAAAATCAGGCCTCAAATCGAAGAATTAGACCAAAATAAAATAAATATAGCAACAATTGGCACACAATTAGACAGAATTACGAAAAATAGAATAAAAATAGGCTGTTACTCTCGTGGGATGTATTGAGGTCGAAACCCTAGCCCGGCATTGCAGTCTGTCTTCTTCTCTGCATCGTTAGCCCCTCTATTCATGGATTTGACGGAGGCGGTCGCCAGAGCGTTACGCCTCGAAGTACTCGTGGCGTTTGGATTTCTCACCGGTAATCACAAGTGAGCCATCCTCCGTGGATCCACGACACTCTGGAGGGGAGGGAGAGTTCTCCATCTTCGCACACCCTTGATCGAGAGAGAGTCTGCCTTATCCTACACAGATCGTGTCTACCGCAAATGTCTTTCGTATAAGAATTGCCATCCAATTTGTTTGGACAGCCTTCCTAATTGACGGTCCGATTTCACCAATTGCAAGCCAAAATTGGATGGAAGTTTACCATTTTCATTTTTATATACTCTCCCCGTCCACTTAAATCTTCTCACTGTGCGTTATGACTTACGGAGTTTGACTAATTTTATTTTCAATTCAATTTATTCTTATTTTTCTATTTAACATATTTCTAAAGTTTATTCTTTTTCATTTTTAATAACAATAACAACAACAACAACAACAACAATAATAATAATACTCCCTCCGTCCCAAATTATTTTAAGGAGTATATGTGTAATAGCTAATTATCTATTAGCTATGCCTGAATAAAATGAAAACAAACTCAACTGAAATGACCTTTTTTTTTTGAAGGACAACTGAAATGACCCTAGTATGGGAGGAATATGCCAGCTTAAAAGTGGCTTCTTTTTTACTTTTATTACTGATGTAATGCCTGTTGCTAGCACCATTTATCTCTTGGACGGTCACTTTCACAGTCCGTTCACGATATCTATTGAGTCTTTAGTCTTACCTTGGTTACCTACTCTTTTTTGTAATCCCTGAACAGTGTGAACATGGGAATAACAATTGAAGATTTCAAGTTCATATATTGGATGGAATATGCATATCGAATGTGGGGAAGGGCATTGGGTATAACAATTAGTTGACGCAAAATTTCATGCCCCACTTACTGCAACACAGTTGAGATTACGGTTGGTGACGATGATGATTTGTTTGTGCCGTTTCTGTTGGATTTTGAAAACATTTATGGTCATTCAACCACAAGCTGAGTTGGCTCCTTAACATGGCCGTAAAATCTTGTTGACTTAGAGGTCACGAGTTTGAATCACATAAGGGCTTTCAATCACATGCATGAGCTTGTGGTTGAATTGGTTCCTTCAGAGTTTCTGATATGTTCCTCGTGTTGAATTTCCATCCCATTGGATGGGACATTGTTTTTGTTTTACAGCTTGATCATCGCATACTTGCATCTGCAACATTAGCTTCCATTGGTGGGCTATGGTGGGCAACAAGGAAACTGGACATTCACCCTGCAGTACGTTCTTTAATTCAAAGCACTTTGGGCATGGCTGCTCTACAGGTAATCTACCGGAGAATATCATTAATTCTGAAGTATATTTAGATTTGCAGTCCATCTATTATTTTCCCCAACATCTTTCTGTCCTTCCAATGTTCATGATGGTCATAACTCACTCTCTTTGTCCTGAAATAAACTGCATAGTTGAAGTTCAACTAAACTCTATTTGCATGAGGCCTTTTGGAAAGTGTCCAAAAACAAAATCGTCACGGCTTGGCCAAAACAAACAAAATATCATACTAATGCCATATGGTTACACCATTTGATTTGCACAGGTGAGCTTGGGCATATCAACGCTTCTTGCGTACGTGCCCGTTTCATTAGGAACAGCACACCAAGCTGGAGCTCTAACACTCCTAACACTCATGATTCTTCTCAACCACACCGTGAGGCGCCCTTCTCTCAATCTTCTCAGGTCATTGCCTGAAGCAGCAGGAACAAGAACGGTCTCATAAATCAAATTCTCTCGGGTTGTCAAATTTTGAGATTTTACATCAATAATCCAAGATTGCTTGTTCATCACATGATCTTCCAGTTTTAAATACTTGTATACTAATACTCCATTCACGATTCTCATTTTACGGGGACTCCGCATCTTTTCAGGAGTATCTGTGACCGATTTGTAACTGTGGAGTATTATTATATAAATATTTAAATGTTGGGGAATTTTGATCTTGGAATATTTTTGTGAAATCTCAAAATTTTAGGAATATTGACATGAATTATCATTGATTTTTTTGGTAAAGGAATGGTTTTGGTAAATGTTGCCTCCTATTCTTTTAGGATACCTCTGCATTCATGAAGGGCAGCATGTAAAGTCTTTTATGGATTTAAGATCCATATATGAAATTTTAATATTCTCGTATGAGCAATACATTATCGTAAATATATGTATTAGTTTTTATATTTTCCAAAATTATTAATTTGCGTATGTGGAATGTCAATGATATAAACACTCATGCCTCAACATCTCCAAAGAGAGTATTATATTGAAAAGCTAAAAATTACGGAGTACTAGACTACAAAAAATAAAATGCTGGACAAATACTCAAGTATTTTGAATGTCAATAGTTTGTTTCAAAGTATTTGTTTAGTTTTAAACTTTTGTAATTAAAATTGATAAACTTTGGTAATTAATTAAATAGATTTATAATATTAGATATTGACAACAAAGGATTGGATTTATCTCACAAAATATTTACAAAACATACTTTTAACTAATTAATATATCATATAATTTTTATTTAATTATAAATCAAAGATCTTGTAGAAAGACAAAACAAAACAAATATTTTGAGACAGAGAAATATGTTATAGTTTTTCATAATTAATGGTCATGAGTGCACCATGAGATACTACTTAGTTGATTGAGTATATCCAACATGGGCGACTGTTGTGAAAACAATTACTCCGTACATGTCTCCGAGGAAGGAAAAAAAGCCAATTCCGTTGCAGCACAAGAATCAGCAAAGAAAAATGTAATACGAGCTTTTGGAGTTATACAATCTCGATGGGCTATTGTGAGAGGACTTGCTCGTTGTTGGGAGAGAAATTCTAGCCACCATATGGATGCGCGGGTCATAGTGTACCATATGATTATCAAAAATTAAAGAATGGAAAATGCGGATTATGATATGATAGACACACGTTCCGAAATACTTGAGAAATAAACAGACTCATTCTCAACTACATTCAGATCTAGTTGAAAATCTATGGCAAAAACATGGAGGATAAGTACTTTTGACACTATTTTTGCTCATTAAGGATATCTTGTTGAAGCTTCTTGAAGTATGCCGCTCTAGTCTCATCCATACCGGTAGTATCTTTACTCATTATCTCATAATCAAGCTTTTTCTTCTCGAGTGCGATGTATTCTTCTTGATAACGAAGTTTCTTTTCGATCCTCTCCTGCTTCGCGCGTTCATTCTTTGTGTACTCTTCCTTCCATGACTGTAAAATTGTTGCAGCAGATGTAGTTGTCGATGTATGTTCTTTGTTTCTCTTGGGTGTTTCCTTGGCAAGTTTTCTTCCCATGGGCCTCTCAAAAAAACTAGTATCATTGTTATCTTCTCCAAGATTAACACTATCAGGTGTAGTGGGAGAAGAATTTGCACTATGGGGACTAACACTTTGAAATTTTTTTGATGCTTTGTTGGAGCGGTCAAAAGAACCTGTTGCTGACCATCTTAACTCATTCTTGAGCACATTCCAGCAGTGAAAGAGATGAAAAGTTTTTCCAGTTGATGCCTTGAAGAGAGCTTCTGCTTTGAGTACCTAAAAAAATGGTTATACTATAATATAACGTTAAGTGTCAAAAACTATACATAAAACAGAGTATAAGTTTAAGTATCATACTCTATCTTCTTCGCTCAAACCGCTCTCTTCTTGTTGTTGAACTTGAGCATAACATCCAACAAATTTTTGAACATCCTTATTTATCACATTCCAACGGCACGAAATAGAAACTTGGGAACGAGCATATTTGCCGTTAGCCACAAAATAATCATGAATTCTCTTCCATAACGCGTCTTGCTTTTGTCCATTTCCAACAACGGGATCAAAAGATGTGTTGAGATAACCTGATATGATTAAAAGATCTTCTTCTTTTGTAAAGCCTTGTTGGCGTCCGCGTTTTGGAGTTGCATATTCTTTCACATTAGCCGATTGTGACCCACTAACTGTGTGATCACCACTTTGCGATTGCAAAGGCGTTTGCGTATCTAAACCTTCTTCAAGCTCATCACAACTAGTCAACATATTGGCGCAGAAGCCACTATTATTGGCGGACTCAACTGCAATCACACAGCAACAGAGATTACAGCAGCCATTGTCCACAGAGAAGAGTCACTTGACTGATTTGGACTGCAATTACTTGTTTACACATTTTACTGATCTGCTGCAGATAATAAACCTATTGTTTACTGATTTGGACTGCAAGAAAGTGTACATTTTTAACAAGGAAAAATTAACATTTAAAATTGCACGAATTTACCTAAATACTCTGAGATTCATATATTCAATACATAACATCAATGCTCCCAATTTTTTTTAAAATCACATCGATGCTCCGAGAATTGATGCGTTTTCATCTGTGCCCCAACATTTGGAGCATAAAAGTAAACATATATCAATTCTCGGAGCAATGATGTGAATAGAGGTAAATTTTGGGAGCATTAGCGTCAATTGATGAATATTGCAGTTTTCCCTGTAAACTCGTGCAATTTTGGGAGTAATGGTGTGGATTTTTCCCTTTAACAAATAAACCTCACTGAGCTTTTTCACACTTTTGTATACATTTTTTTCCCAGCCTCTACAACTTTTACTGACTCACTGTAGATCAAACCTAAATAATGTGTATTCCAATTCTATAACAACAAATATATAGGGAGCATTTCTATAACAAGTATAATCTAGCACAAGAATGAACAAAGACTTAATTTTCAAATAAAATCAGCACAATCCACCAATTTGATTTTAGAAAAAACAGACCTCAACGATGATTTCAATTTTTTCCAAGGAACTGAACGGAAATGGACTCTCTGTTCATCAGGATTGAAGATTAGGTCTGCCATCCACAGAGAACGAATGAAAATTGGGAACGATTCAAAGATGAGGGAGAGGGATTCAACGAAAACGAAAAAAGGGGAACGATCGAAGAAGTAGAATTACCTTAGCAGATCGAAGGAGCAGACGGAATGAACCTTGATGGAAGGAGGTGGGGAGGTTGAAGAAGAAGAAGAATAGAAGAAAGGGAAAAAGGAGAAGTGGTACAGTGTCAAATTCAATTCTAAAGGATGGTCAGGCTGAAATATAAAGCCTTCTATTTTTGGTGATGTGGAGGGTTAATGGAGGGTTTGCCGGAAGAATTTGAAGGAAGTGCTTAACCACAATTTAAAACACTTGGTTCTTTTAGAGAAAATGACCTTAGATATTGAAGGTTGGAGATCTAGAATTAGAAGAAGTGCTTAACCACAATTTAAAACACTTGGTTCTTTTAGAGAAAATGACCTTAGATATTGAAGGTTGGAGATCTAGAATTAGAATAGTTTGATAGTCATTTAGTCTATAATACTAGTTTTGTTCTTGTTGTTGTGTGTTGTAATTGCTTGAGGCATTTCTTCTCACAATTGCATAGGTACTTTATGTCATTTTGTACTTTGTTCTCTTGTCGTACTTACTATTTGATTTGTGTTGCATGAACTGAAGGTCTCTTAGAAATAGAGATCTGCATATACATGCACACCCTCCCTAAACCTTGCTTTTGTGGGTATGTACTGGATTGTTGTTGTTGTTTATACTCCACACAATTTAATTTGCATATTTAATAATAATTTATATTATCAAATTTTAATTTTTTATTCATTTTTATTATTCATTTGATAAAATAATACTCCCTCCGTCCTATAATGATCTTCCCAGTTCGCAAAACGAAGAAAAATCCCAAGTTTTTTTAATCTATTTTATTTAAATATTGGTATAAAAATAAAAAATAAAACATACATATTTAAAAACTACACCAAAAGTTCAACAAAACAAGTGGTGACAAGAATATTTTATTTTATCATATAGGCCATGAAAAAACACAAATAAATATAAATTCCCGTGAAGTTGGAATAGTGCTCTGGGAAGATCATTATAGGACGGAGGGAGTATAATCATATAATTTTAAAATAGGACTTTGCACTGTGATAATGTGACTTTGCATTGTGGTAATGTGACAGTGTACATGTGCATATTACCATACGTTTTTGGTAATGTATATGACCATGTTTGGTAATGTAATTCCTATTTCGGGAATGTTGGAGTTCCCACATCGGAAAATAAAGATGAGTATCACTTGCATATATTGAAGAGTGAAGCCCTACCTATCAGCTTAAGCTTTTGGGTTAGAATTGTGGATCCCGACTTTATATGCAAGTGGTTAATTTTACCCGACACTCTATCCGTTGTTATTGGCCCGCCGGAATTTTAACAGGGAATAAAAGCATAGAAGTCCTATTTTGATATATTTTCAATGTTTTAATTCTACTTTAGTCTTTCTCCCTTAGTCTAATACCAAGATTTGTGGTATGCACCGTTCGAGTGTATTTGTCTAGTTTGATTTTTTTGAGTCAAACTCTATAAATTTTAAACTCCATCTAATTATTCTCAATTTATATGGCATATTAATATAATAAAATACAATTTTGAAAATTCTCAATACGATAAATCCAATAAAGTTATTTTAAGGTTAAAATACATTACGATTTTTATTTAATTGAAGCTCAAATTAAATTTGGTCGAGTTTGATTTGAAAAAATCAAAATGGACAAATACACTGAAACGGAAGGAGTAATTACTAATGTTTAGTTTGAGTTCTAACAGGACACCTCCTACAAAGGTGCATGCTACTGGGTTAGGTTGTACCTATTTATTTAGGTCTCCACTTACGGTCTAGGTCCCCAGGATAGGGTCTCAACACTTTGATTATTAATTTAAGGGAGCTTTGGTTCGAGCTGAGAGAAAGAAGAAAGGGGAATGATTACTCCTAAATTATTTTGTCTGTTTGCCTTTTCAGTATTCGTGAAAACTTTTATTTATTTCAATGTTTTCATTGGTTATTTAATAAAATAAAATACGCAGTATTATTCTTGACACGTCTTATTTCGAAGAACGTTTCATATAGGATTTTTATATGTAAATTTTAATTTTTATTTCTATACCAATATGTAAATAAAATGTATTGAAAAAACTTTACATTCTACATCGGTAATAGAAGTGTGACAAATATTTATGAACGGAGGGAGGATATTAATACAACTAAATTTATCAAAATTTCAATATATTCTTTGAAAGATAAAAAACAATGTCATTAGCATAACATAAATAGAAATCACCCTAAATAAAACTAAAACATAGAGAAAAGTATCAAAATATGATTTTAATATTTTTTTCTCGAAATAGTACTTCACACTGTGGTAATGTTGTTGTAACGTGACACTATACATGTACACGTTACTATAATTTTTGGTAGTGTACATGACTAGGTTTGGTAATGTAAATACATTTTAAGTCTTATTTTGAAAATAAAACCACGAAGTCCTATTTCAATATATTTTTAATGTTTTTGTCCTACTTTAGTGGGCGTTATTTTTTAAAGGGAGAGAAGAGATGAAATTAAAAACGAGAGGATGCATGCGTTTTTTCACATAATTAAATACATATTGAGTTAAATCCCACAAAAAGTAGATACTCCGTATGATTTTTAATCTTTTACTCCTACTTGGAGTCCTCTCCCTTAGTATAAATGCATATTTAATACTCCTGTAAGTAATAAAAGAACGCAAAATTTTATGAAACGTTATGCCAAACCTATGAATGTGGATGCATATATATATATATATACCAATAGAATTGTGCATGGAAGATTTATCCATTATCCATTACAATAAATAAAAACTTCAATTCCAAAATTACAAGGTTTTAATAGAGAAAAAATCAGATCCTTCTGGAAAAAGGAGTTATCTCTTTAAACATGGACAGTTTCAAACTAAGGTTAGTTGTTAATTAATTTACTTTTTATTAGAAGGTTGTTAATTATTGTTTTTATTAATAATATACTCCCTCCGTCCACAAATAAACTTTACGTTTACTATTCACAGGGTCAAACTTTATTCACTTTGTTGGCCTATTTTCGTCACCCATTTGATAAAATAATATAGTCATGTCACCTCTAGTTTTGTAGATCTTTTGATATAGTTTTTTAATATGTAATTTTTATTTTTCAATTCTGTACTATTTTTTCATATAAAATGATTTGAAAATAATAACTTCAGTCAAACATCGTAACGCGTAATGTAAAGTTTATTTGTGGACGGAGGGAGTATAACTTTGTTCTACTCCCTTATTTTGAGAATAAAAGATTATGTCATAATATGACAACTTTGATGGTAAAATCGATGATTCCTATCTTTTAACCATTCTACAAATCCCCAACCCCGGCCCACCCCAAACTCATCACCCCAACCCCGTCAATTTTATTCTCCAAATTTATTTGATTTTTTGGGTCAAAATTTTTTGATCTAAAAGTCAAATAAATTAAACTTAGGAAATAAAATTGAAGGTGTGGGGTGATGGTGATACGAATATCGTATCGGATAGGGAAGAACTTCGAGCGTTCTTCAAGCTCCAAGAAAAAGAGGTAAAGAAAGATGGAATACTTCGAGCGTTTCCGGGCTCCAAGAGAAGAAAGACGAGAGATTAGAGTTTTGATATTTCTTTATTGATTGAATAATAATAATACAAGAGTACAATATATAGAGATACGAGAAACCCTAATTAACCTAATGGGCTTGGGCCTCATACTAAAACCTAATCATGAGTACCTATACAATTCTACTATTTAATAAATAACTAATTAAATAATATAATTCATCTTCTGTATCAGATGGGTTCGCGGTGGACCACAGTGGGGAATAAAATTGACGGGATTGGGACTAACGTTTTCGATTAGCATCAGCGTTTTAGATAAAATTTTAATGGTGTAGATTAAATTTGACAATGCTAACGCTAAAAGCTATCGTCAAATAGCCTTTTCAAAATGCTAACGCTAATTTGTAACGCTGATACCAGACGAGGCTTATATATCCCGAAGGTAGATCCTCGATATTACCCCTTGTGTCAACACTTAATTTGCAAATTCATAAACCTAAAAAATCATGGGTTGGACCTAGAAAATTAAATCCTTTACAAATAGTTGAAAATTTACGTTATGGATATGATGATGGATTGTGTATTTGTGTTAAAGAAATAATTAAATAACCTAAATTTATAGGAATTCATATGGTTAGATATTCATTATTCTAATTATTCGATATTAGTATAATATTGTTGGGAAATTTAACACAAAACTTCCCACGCAACGAAAGAAACAAACTAGTAGCCGATCGAAGAACAAAGAAACCGCAAGCCGAAAAAAATAGAGATGAGACCAAAGATTATTGAAACCGGAAAAACCCTCTTTACAGAGGTAAAACCACCACTATAAAAAATAGTGCAAGTAAAACTTAACCGTCAAGGATTACAACACCAATCCTAGACCCACATACAATATTTTGGTACAAAGAAAACCCCTAAAATATTGTATGAAAAAAACAAGTTGTACAACCTCTCTCATAAAAGAGCACACATGGCTAGAATTGTTTTTTTTTTTCTTGCACGTACCAGCCCCCCACACCTTTTTCCAAAGCCTATGCAAGGCTTTAAATATAGGAGAAAAACATTAAGTTAGAAAAAAAACTGCCACCCAAGACAAATGAAAAGCCTCCCAAATGCAATAACTCACAATTACCACATTTGTCTTTCCAAATGCTAATTCATGCACCTTAAAAAAACTTGGGCTGGACAATTTTGGGAAATAGTCCCAACAATCTCCCCCTCAAGCCCAAGTGTGTTCGGCAAGACCCTAGAAGCCATGAACCATTGTCGCCTCATCCACGAACGAGACATGACAACCACTATTATGATTTGAGCCGCTTTTAGCCGCATGACCCACCATACCATACAAACCGTGATCTAGCTCCCCCTTGATCACAACTGTGTTACCCTTAGTCACTCTAACCACTCCCCCGCAAGCCTTGTACTCGCACCCCTCGGAGTCCAATTGACTAAGTGAGATGAGATTCCGCCGCAACTTGGGAACATACGCAACATTACCCAAAGTCCTCACCACCCCATCGAACATTTTCATTTTCACCACTCCAACACCCATGACCGCCACCGTCGAGTTATCCGCTAACCTCAAAACCTTAGTCATGCCTTCCTGAAGTGTCTCAAAATGTTCCTTCCTTGAGCACATGTGACTCACACATGCAGAATCAAGCACCCAATCATTGTCGGAATCTTCATCATGACCGTTAGCCACCATGAACAACTCGTCAGTTCCATTTCCGAGAGAACTACTACCAGTCTCTCCATCTCAAACCAAGTTGGCATCATTTTTCCCCTCACGCTTCTTAGGACAATCCCTCCTAATATGCCCGAGCTCGCCACACTTGTAACAACGCACCTCGTTCTTAGATGCGTTCTGGGACTTAGACCTCTCGTGCTTTGATTTATTGTCCCTAATAGACGAACGACCTCTCCCACCACCATGAGCAATTGCCGCGACTGCATCGTCACTCCGTACCCCAGCTTTGTCTTTCCTCCTCGCATCAAACGACAACAAAGCTGATTGTGCCTGCTCCAAGGTAATCGTGTCCTTGCCGCACAGTATGGTATCCACATAAACCTCATAGGAATCTGGGAGAGAATTAAGGAGAAGCAATGCCTGATCCTCCTCACTGATTTTAACATCAAACCGTTTCAGCTCGTCTATTAAACCATTGAACACATTCATGTGTCCAACCAAGGTGTCCTCATCCTCCATCCGCAACCGATACAACCGCCTCTTCAAAAGAAGCTTGTTGGTCAAGCTTTTCGCCATGTACAGCTTTTCCAACTTCTCCCATATCGCCGCCGGAGATTCCTCGTCAATAACACAATTAACGACAGAGTCTGCAATACACAACCGGATGGTACTGACACACTTCTCGCACAACTCCTGCCAATCATTGTCACTCATTTTCTCCGGCTTCGCCTCATCTCCTTTAAGGGCTCTAGACAAACCCAAATGCACAAGGAGATCCTTCATCCTTCTTTGCCAAAGAGTGAAGCTACTCTTTCCATCAAACTTAGGCACGGAAAAGTGAGACCCCGAACCCGAACTCGACATCCTCGAAAACTACTAGAACCACCCGAACCTAACCTGGCTCTGATACCACTTTGTTGGGAAATTTAACACAAAACTTCCCACGCAACGAAAGAAACAAACTAGTAGCCGATCGAAGAACAAAGAAACCGCAAGCCGAAAAAAATAGAGATGAGACCAAAGATTATTGAAACCGGAAAAACCCTCTTTACAGAGGTAAAACCACCACTATAAAAAATAGTGCAAGTACAACTTAACCGTCAAGGATTACAACACCAATCCTAGACCCACATACAATATTTTGGTACAAAGAAAACCCCTAAAATATTGTATGAAAAAAACAAGTTGTACAACCTCTCTCATAAAAGAGCACACATGGCTAGAATTGTTTCTTTTTTTTTCTTGCACGTACCAGCCCCCCACACCTTTTTCCAAAGCCTATGCAAGGCTTTAAATATAGGAGAAAAACATTAAGTTAGAAAAAAAACTGCCACCCAAGACAAATGAAAAGCCTCCCAAATGCAATAACTCACAATTACCACATTTGTCTTTCCAAATGTTAATTCATGCACCTTAAAAAAAACTTGGGCTGGACAATTTTGGGAAATAGTCCCAACAAATATAATTTAATAGTAAAAGTTTTTTAAAACATGGTGTTAGTTTGTTAAAGTATCTTACATTAAAGAATAAAGAAAAGAATAGATTTGTAAGCTTATGATTTGAACTAGTAAATGACTAAATTTAATTTTTAATACGGAGTATAATTCAATCCAATTGTCATTCCTAGCCTTCCTAGGTAGTAGCTCTACCGTTTAGTCCAATTATTTGTGAGGAATGCATACCCTATAACATGCGGGCCCATTAACTCGATTGTTCGTCTTAAGGTTCATATCCAATGACGTGACACTATAGACATAGTGCTCAAGACAAATAATTTAGGGTAATGAACATCGATTCATTTCAGAGGATGAAATTTTATTTGCAAAATGTAAATCAATTAAATTTAAAATGACCTGGTTGTCTATATGAGGAGGTGTTACACTATCCCACGTCAAAAAATAAATAAGAAAATAAATGATTTATAAATTTTTTAGTTGAATTATGGAGTAGAATAGAATTTGATTCATTCTTTTAACAATGTGTCTTATAGCCAACCCAAGCGATCTCTATCGATCAAATTCTAAATTCTATAAAATGGTCATTTTGAACCAAATTTACTGCAATTTCAAAATATAAGAATCATACACCAAATAAAATATGGCTCAATATATATGTAAGCATAGACCTTTCTTATTTTTTGTCATTTCCGACTCTCAAGGAGTAGTAATAACAACAATAACAACAACAACATCAACATGCATCAACAACAACAAAAATAATAAAAATAATAAATACGGAGTACTACTAGTATATTTATTATTGTTCATTTAATTCCTATTATCATTGTAGTAGCAATTTTCGTTATCAATATTTATTCTATCTTTTCTATGACAACAGGAAAAGTGATCTTCATAGCAAGACTATGATGATGGTATTGGTGAAAGTACTTATTATTAAATTAATTTTATTGGGTGGAGTATCAAGTGAGTGTGATCCAAACTATTGCAAGTGCTATAGTTTATGCTTTATGGTGAATGCTGCACGATACGGAGGTGTGGATGATCCTATAGATTTAGTAGGACATTGTTCTTGGTATTGTGATGATATACTGAAAACTCAGTGTAGTCATACTAATCTCAGATGTCCATGTTTGCCAGAGGACCGTAATTGCCCGCCGTAAACAGAAATAATGGCATATACCAATGTTTTCTAGTAAATAAGTATATGCTTGCACATGGAATTCATTGCATTATTTTTAATTTGAATGGAAAAAGTAAGGACACAATAAAATTTTCTATTTTCATTTCTATTTTATTTATCTAGGACAATGTGTCAATAGAATATTTTTGTACGGAGTATTTATTATCTTATGATAACGGACTATGATTAATTGATTAATTCAATTCCTCTTTGAATGATGTTTCTCGTTTGTGTAGTTTAAACTTTATTTTAAAATTAAAATTGAATAGACTTTGCATTTCATCATTTATTGAACAAACCATAAATGGAGGAAATATTGTTGATGAATTTATTTAAATAGCACTAAAACATAATGACTCTTCCTAAATTGCAATACATATGTTTTTCTGCCTAACGTAGCACTTTTAGTCAATATGCTTTAGTCATTATTCATGCAAATATTTGTCATCACTAGACATTATGGACATTATTAAGTGCTAGCTATTTAGGGATAAAAATAGTTTAAATACTATTTGAGAAAATGGTTAAGTTTCAGTGCTATTTAGTGCAAATATTTCAATATTGTTTTCCCTTTTAGACATCTTGTGACAGATGTTGCACATCGCTAGTTGTTAGAGCTTAATTGTGTAACATTATACTTCTTAGTAAATACTCTTTCTGTCCTAAAAAGATTTACACGTTTCAAAAAAATTGCGTCTCAAAATCTCCTTTCAATTTCTATTAAAAAACCACTTTACCCCTTACTTTTTCAAACCTTACCTATCAAATCATACCTTATAATCTAGACATCACATTCTACTTTTACCAATCACATCAAGGGTATTTTTGAAAAGTCAACACAAAATAATCCCCCTTAATTACAATTTTAGTCAAAACGTGTAAATCTTTTGGGACGGAGGTAGTACTTATTACTTACCTCCAATAACAAATTAAACGATCATAACAAGTTAAAAGAAATAAAATAATCCTAGTTTATAATTTTATTTGGATTAATTACAATAAATAAAATAAAATTAGCTTCCGATCTTCAAAGGCCTTCATTGACAATAAGGACTTTGTACACTAAAACGAATCAGCGAACTGGGACGTAGAACTCGGGAACAAAATTTGCAAAATAGAACACCATAGAAGGGCAGCGGAGTCGACGGAGCTGTCCTTAAGGTAATAGTGCCCGCCTACCGTACTGGAGATCGTGGGCACCTTCCTCCCAAGATAAAATCGCTATCGTGTGTGGTGGTTGTACGAACCAACCTCACACCTACGAACGAGAACATTGTCGAAGTGTTAACGACCGGAAAAATGATATGGACTGCCGTAAAAGTGAGACCACCATTCACTTTAATAGGCTAGCATGACTTTTCATTTTTTATAACCTCCACCATTATCGCCATTAACTAATTATAATAATTATCATCATTAGTGGTGTGTTACTGGTGTGACATTAGTGGCGTGTTCATTAACACGTCCATTACGCTACACTCCGTTAAAATTTGTCTCAAATTTAAAAATAGACTAATTTTAAAAATTACGTAAAAGTAATAGAAGATTGGTTCAATAAAAATATGCATGTACATGCATCAACCATACCCTTCTATTTTTAGCGCGTCAATTTTGAGAATCAATTATTTCTCATTCAACCTTCTACCATTGAACCTGGTACCAGCTAGGTTGGGTTTTTCTACATAGGACTGTCCTAACACAAGGGACTCAAATTCATTCCTGCCACCAACTTCTCATGCAACTCATCATTTATTAACCCTTTGGTTAGAGGATCTGCGAGATTATCTTTTGACTTCACATATTCAATGGTGATAATCCCAGTTTTGAGTTGTCTAATGGTTTTGTGTCTACTACGAATATGTATTCTAGACATACCATGTTACTCTTTGCACTTCCTATTGCCGATTGAGAATAAAAATAGATGAAAATTGGTGGCACCGGTTTATCCCATCTTGGAATGTCCTCTAGAAATTCGGGTAGCTATTCAGCTTCTTCACCACATTTGTCTAAAGTTATAAATTCAGATTCCATGGTGGACCTAGAAATCACTGTTTTCTTTGAGAATTTTCAAGATATTTCTACACTCGCTAGCGTAAAGACATATCCACTTGCAGACTTCAAGTCTTTAATAATAATAATAATAATTAGAGTAAATTCCATAATTGGTCCTTTATAACATGGAGGTTTCCATATTTAGTCCTCTATTATCAAATACTATCCCCGTAGTCCTTTTTTAAGGCCGGGTACCTTTCCACAAATGGTCCTTTTTTGATCTTCTACCGTGTTGGTGTTAATTTAAAGGCTAAAAGTATAATTATAAGTCAACATTATGTCTAGTGACGTGTTCTAATATTGGTTAAGCGAATAACACAAAAATAATGACTATGATTGTATGCTAAGATTCTGATGAAAGATCACATTTGTAGACTATAGTTGTTGTAAAAAGCAACTGTAATTCACAAATGACGTAAACGGAACAGCTTTTGGAATTGTGTATGACAAAAAAGATATATTATCATTGTGAAATTACACTTTTAGTCCTCAAATTAACAGCAACATGATAGAAGATAAAAAAAGATTATTTGTGGAAAGATACCAATAAAAGAAGGACCACTTAAGTAATATTTGATAATAAAAGGCTAAATAGGAAACCTCTTATTATAAAGAACTAATTATAGAATTTACTCTAATTATTATTATTAAAATAAAATAAAAACGTGCAAAAGATGGTGACTGAAAGGGAAAAATAATTATGAGAAGTAGGTAAGCATTTATATTGTTATTCAAATAAGCTCTAGCATTAGCTTTGTACATCATTTTACACAGATGTCTAAAAGGGAAAAATAATTATTCCTGCATCCATACGTAATTGACATATCTTCACACTGTACGCGGCACTCATTAATCATTATTCACGAAATAGTTAATTACGAGTAGTTTTTTTATAAAAAAATACTACGGGTATTTCTTTTTGTTATATTATTAAACGACAAAATTACTAATTCAATTTATTTAAATATATATGTAAAATTATAAAATAGAAATTATCTACTCCCTCCGTCCCAGAAAATCTTTCTCCTTTCTTTTTTCATCCGTCCCAAAAAACACTTCTCATTTCTATTAAAAAGTCACTTTTACCCCTTACTTTTTCATACCCTACCTATCACATCATACCTTTTTACTAATAATCTATCTATCAAATCATACTTTTACCCATCACATCAAAGGACAATTTTGGAAATTCAATACCAAAATACACTCCCCTTAAATCCCTCCCCAAAACCTAAACTCCCATGTTTTTTGGGATGAAGGTAGTATTAAAAATTACATAAAAAAATTATAAAAAAAGAGATAATATGATTACATTGTGTTCGAATTAGTAATAAAAATATAAAAAACATATACTCCGTACTATATAATTTGAGTATGTGAATATTATAAAATTTGAAAAGG